TGAATGTACTTGAAAGTATTGTGTTATACTTAAAAAACAAAGTGTTATAGTTTACAGAAGGTCTACCTACCTATAGGCTACCTGAATCTCTGAAATGTACTATATTCCTAAATATGCTATTGCTACACTTTATGGCAAAAATTGCACTTTTCTGTTGGTCTTGGTTAAGAACCTCCTTGATAAAAATAAACAATGTTTTGTTGCTTAAGCTTATGTATTCAGTCATTATTCAATGGTATACTAAAATCCATGTGAAAAAAATTGCTTCTCACTGTTCTTAGGTCAAATATGTATATGCGATTAAAAATGCGATTAATTGCGATTAATTAATTACAAAGCCTGTAATTAATTAGATTAATTTTTTTAATCGAGTCCCGGCCCTAATTTAAATGTATGATTCACATTGACATGTATTCATGCATTTTTTTTTAAGTCTATGTGGGTTAAAGTAACTTCTTGTTCTCCAATAGAAAAACACATTTTATTATTCTTTAAACTAAGGTATATTTCATTTCAAAATGTTCTTGCAGCTTAATCAATATTGTCTTTTTTATACATTTACTTTGGGTTTAATGGTGTTTTCAGTCAAAAGAAATTAGCAAAAATAAATAGTTTATTTATTACTGTCACTCAACCGTTTTTGAGATAAAAAAAACCCCCAAAGTCTTTAGCTTTATAGTAAAAAACACTAAAAACTATCCAAAACCATAATAAATTGTAAATTTTTGTCCACCGGCTTGGTTTGATCATGCTTTACAAATACAGAGCATTTTAGAGTAGAGGTTTGGCAGTTAACATTTGAGAGAGCAAGCAATGAAAAGGAGAAAGTAAAAAGTAAACCCAAACTTCACAGCTTCAGTTAGTTTATAGGAGGCTGCTGCTGTCTGGAGAAGTGGAGGTGTGACTGACATCTCGGTCTGTTAAAATGTTAATGTGAATTTAACAGACAACATTCAGCCTTTATGGTGCCTAATCATGCAAATCACTGTTTTTACAAGCAGGTTGGAGGGGGGAAGTTAGCATAAAACCCAAAAACTAAACATAAAAACTAAGTTTAAAAATGTAAAACACTTAGTAATAATCACATTAATACAAAACATAATTAGAATAACTATACAATCAATTAAAAAGTTGTAATTACTATGAAATAGTCTCAAATTGCGCTCCATAAAATATTTTTTCAGATTTAGCTCTGTGAGTCTGATTTTGCCATATTTGGGGGATTTTTAAAAGTTTTAAAATTAAATGTGAACAGTCATCCTTCAAATCTCAGCTGTGGAAAGCAGCACTTTTGTTGTAAAAATAAATACAAAATGTACAACTTCCAGTCAAAATCCTCCTTGCTGAAGTGCCACTTTACACACCAAGTGGAACATAAATATAATGGACGGAAAAACGCCACCATTAGCATTCAGAGACATGTGGTTAAATAATATATATGATAGGCCTAGGCACCTACGTGTCCGAACGGGTCCAGGTGGTTGTTGGTCAGCTTCAGCTTCTGGAAGGACACGAGCTGCCTCATCCAGTGCGCGCCCGTGGCGGGAGAGTCTGGGTGGACGTAGAGCCTGCCGGGCATCGCGGGCTCTGCCTTCCCGGTCACAGACCTGAACAGCCACATCCACCGTTACACATCAAGCTGACAACCATATGCCATCTATCAGCGATGCGTTAAGTTTAACATGTAAATTACACACCCTTTCACATCATTTAACCCATGATTTCACTGTCCAAACGTTAACAGTTTTGCAAAATGACATCTGAATTGAATGCATTTCAAAGCAAATATTACATAAAACGATTTAAAAAAGGACACATCAGTAGGACAATGCTGCTAACTCATAAGGGATAAGGACATTTACGCGCATCCAATATATTTACGCACTTGCTTTAAGCGTCAGGTTGTTTACCTCAACACTTTTCATTAAGGCTCCTTCAACTTAAATAGATCAACGTATAATTATATAATGTCCAAATACTTGGGGAAGTTGGTTTTGTATGGTCAGAGGTCAGATTAGAGCTGGTAGACATTGTTTTCCAACATCATTAGATCAAGAGGAGAATTAGTTCCAGGATATGCGTTGAACAGGTCATTATCGGCAGTATTGGCATGTGATTATCCTCTTTAAGTATCCTCTCATTGAGAGGCACTGACCCAAACAAGGCATTCCTGACCAAGGTTAGAGAGATCGACATGACACTAAACAAATAGCATGTTTATGCCCCACAGTGAAATACAGCCTTGCAGTGCATAAGGGCTGGTAGAAAAAGTCATCAACATCATTAAAAGGTACCTCGAGAAACTTTTTCTCCCTGCAGAATTTTCTTTCTTGGCAAGTATGAGAAAAAAAACAGTTCATAATTCTCAGGGAATTAATATGTTCACTTCCGATCCTCATCCATCAGGAAAACAATATAAAAGTTCCTGTTGGAATTAACTCCCCAAAACAACAACCCCCATTATTGTGAAATACCGTGCACGACTCATATAAGAAACGTTTGTTATTACAATATTTCGTGTTATACTTTACATACCATTTATTGTCGGCGAATTTGTATCGATGGTCGTCCGCAGGAACAACATCCATCAGGAGTATATATTTAGTTTTGGGGTTTAATCCCGCGACCTTCACTTTGAAGCTGGGGAACATTCGCCTAAAGGAAAAAAAAAATGTTTGTGTCGCTATGGTATTTATGTCAAAGCAGGAAATGAAAGTAACATTCAGGCACATTTTTTTCCCCTCTTCAGTAGCCATTAAAAAAATGTTTGGCGGGCAGAAGTCTACATTACAAACTGAGAACGAAAGCAAATTGTGTTTCTTTTTTCAGAATAAAGCATATGAAGTGTGTTTCATTATTCCAAAGTGCAAACTAAATTAAAATGTACAACCAGCCCATGCAGGAAGGTTTAAAATGTCAAATAAATGCCTTGATTTGGTTTGGGAAAGGTCACCATTTTTTTTCAAAGCAGGGCATTGGTTCAGAGAAAAACCTGCGCGTTATAAAACGTTTTTCCCTGTGGGCCAGAATTTTTTTCTTTTGCAAGATCCATTTAGTAAATCATTCGGATATTTGGTAGCTGTCATATTAAAAAAACACATAATGTGAGTTAGGCTGAGCAGTCTCATGAGCCGAAGGGAAGGGCTGCGGGCGAATGAGAAGCTGCTGTGCAATATCACTTCACGCCAAAAAACAGGAGAGACATGACTGACGGGAATATAATGGAGACTTTGTGCAGCTGTGTGAAAACAAATGCGTTCTGGAGAGCACAATGAAATGTAGCCATGTTAAACTATACATATTCATCATTTAAATTATAATAGGCATACCCTACATGAGAGCCAGCGGCCACTTTGACACTCATGCATAAATGCAGGATCACACTCCGCAGATGAGCGATATTTTGACTGGATGTTAGTCTGATGGCAACTGTGGAGCTGACAGCGGGACACATGTTGTCCCTGTACAACATGTTGCAGCAACAGTGTTGTCACGCGTAGTGTCTGCGTACAATTACACACACAACAATTGTCATTGGATAAGACAAGACCCATGCTGATAAAATATGTTAATTCCACTAAAAAAATGTCTCAGCAAAACAGGCGCAGACTAAGCATTCTAGGACAGTTTTGTCTTTCTGCTCTCCAGACTGATTGGACCAATAGGGCCACCCAGACTAAAATGCAGGCTGATGTTACAGAGAGCTAAAGCATCCACCAGATGCTCTTTGTTTTCTCTTTGGTTCCTCATTATTATTTTTCAAATCCCCATGCAGACAAATCCAGACGGGCCTACATTTTAATCCTAGGCCTAGATAGAGTTAATATAAAATACAAATACAGTAAGCCTTATCAACAAATAGACATCCAGTCAATATTCCTTTTGTTTTGAAAAGTGGCATCCTGTCAAAAATAATGATACATATTTGTCATATTGTCCTCTTACCTTCCGGCTTTGGTGATAATCATCTCCGTCCCCACTTCGTCAAACTTCACCCAGAGTTCCCTCTCGTGCAGGTAGACTTTTATTCCTTCCATTCCCTTCAAAAATAAATTATAGTATTGGCAATTGCCAAATGTGCGCACAGGATTGCTGTTATAAAACTAGTTCAATGTTTACGCAGAGGTGCCAAACATGGGTTTGAGGCCTTCAGAGTTGGTCAAATAGCCTGTTGTTAAAATCACATTTTTATAGCTGATCATATGTTAGATTCAAGTCAAAACCTACATAACCAAGACACATAAAGAAGACAACTGCATTTAAACTCAAACATTGACCAATTGGGTAAGTTAAGATGTGTTATCCGAGCAGGGCATTGAGTCCACTTCTGTAACAAACACTAAATATGATATATTAACTTGATTAATTGACTTACTCCATTCCATTAGTAGACATTTTAAGTAACTATTTGTCTGTATTTTTGCTCCCAAAACGACAATATGGTTGGCTACTTGTTCACACAATTAAGTTTAAACCTTTATTTTTAATCAGTGACAGTGAGGCCTGCAGACTGAGTGAAACTGACCTGCTGAATGTAAGTTGTCTGTGATGACGGGGATTTGCTTGAGGTCCCGTTCGGTTTCTCGGATTTATTTTCAGTCCGTAATTCTCTCGAATCCGAGCCACCCGGAGAGCTTTGAATGGGAAAAGTCTCCTCTTGGTCCGCCATGACCGGAACTCCGAAAACTACTGTCCCAGCTGTAAGACCCAAGCAGAGGTGTCAGTGTGAGAGTGGATCTACCTATTAACCTTGTAAGAGTGATTTAAATAAGTTAATGCATACAGACACACATACATATAAGCTTTATTTTGTCTTTTTATGGAAACACAAAGTTATTCTTATTCTTGGAAGTTATGTTTGCTATACATGCAACAGCATTTGAAATCTAAAACGACTTACAGTAATAAAATATACCATTCCAAACATAACGTTAAACAATTTGTTCTTAAACTGAACGTTCTAAGCAAAGTAATTCATGATATTACAAATATATTAAATAAGCTGTAGCTTTAGTGACTTATGACAATATCATACATAGGCCATTTGAATTGGAAATTAACATGGCAATATATTATTTGAGGAAAAAATATTCCTTACACTAAAAGTGTTATTGCTAATTTATTTCACTTTTTTTTTAGGAGATTCACTTTGCACATTGAAGCAGCCCCCCGCCCCTCTCTTTAAGGAACCCTTATTTCCTATACATGTTCCCCAGACAAAGACATCAGCGTTATTGTTACATCGAGACATGGTGATGTCCAGAAAAAGATGAAACCTGCCAAAAAAGCAATCCTCTAACCCACACGGTGTAATCTCTGCAGAGGGCAGCGATTACTCCAACATAGAGTAGCCTGTACTACGGCGAATTACACCAGCAATGAATACACGTAGTCGAACAGGAGCGGGATCTTACCTAAAAACAAAAACGTTGGCTAGAGTTGGATACGACGGTGGCCAAACAGAGAAACACCGTGTTCGTTTTTAAAATGTTCAATGCCCCGTCCCAAATCAGATAATCCAGCCGTTTTGCTCGATTAAGCTACACGGAATCTCCATGAATCCTTCTTTTTACCCCTCTCACTGTAAATCCAACAAGCGGAGCCGTGACCGTGGAGATGTTCGCTGACAGCTACAAGGCGCTGCTCGGTGCCTAATCTTGCATTTTACAGCTGAAGACCGTTTTGTGAGTTGAGTCCAGTGATAGCACCTATAGCAGTAAACTGTATCCGAGTCCCAGAGGAGCAGGTCCGTCTCCTCCTTCTCCCCTCCTCTCTCTCAGTCTCTGCCTGGTCAATTCTACGTTTCGCTCTCTCTCTCTTGCGCGCGCTCCCTCTCCAACCCGCCACTGCGCATCAATGACCAACCGTGCGAAGCGGAAGCAGAGTCCGCGACGTAGATCAGGGGGG